CCACCCCCTATTCCTCCGCCCGCTCCCTTCTTCCATCCCTCGTTTCTTCCACCCTCCCTCCATCCTTCCACCCCGTATTCCTCCACACGTGGCCTTCCTTCATCCCTTCTTCCTTCCCCTGTCTATTCATCCACACACCGCCTTCTTCCATCCCTCCTTCCTTCCACCATCCCTCCTTCCTTCCTTCCTTCCACCCCCTATTCCTCCACCTGCTGCCTCCTTCCATCCCTCCTTCCTTCCACCATTCCTCCTTCCACCACTCCTGCCTTCCACCCCCTATTCCTCCGCCCGCTCCCTTCTTCCATCCCTCGTTTCTTCCACCCTCCCTCCATCCTTCCACCCCGTATTCCTCCACACGTGGCCTTCCTTCATCCCTTCTTCCTTCCCCTGTCTATTCATCCACACACCGCCTTCTTCCATCCCTCCTTCCTTCCACCATCCCTCCTTCCTTCCTTCCTTCCACCCCCTATTCCTCCACCTGCTGCCTCCTTCCATCCCTCCTTCCTTCCACCATTCACCCCTCCTTCCTTCCTTCCTTCCACCCCCTATTCCTCCGCCCGCTCCCTTCTTCCATCCCTCGTTTCTTCCACCCTCCCTCCATCCTTCCACCCCGTATTCCTCCACACGTGGCCTTCCTTCATCCCTTCTTCCTTCCCCTGTCTATTCATCCACACGCTGCCTTCTTCCATCCCTCCTTCCTTCCACCCTCCCTCCTTCCTTCCTTCCTTCCACCCCCTATTCCTCCGCCTGCTGCCTTCTTCCATCCCTCGTTTCTTCCACCATCCCTCCTTCCTTCCTTCCTTCCTCCCCTATTCCTCGGCCTGCTGCCTTCTTCCATCCCCCTTCCTTTCCCCCTCTATTCCTCTGCACAGGGCCTTTTCCCATCCCTTCTTCCTTCCACCCTCCCTCCATCCTTCCACCCCGTATTCCTCCACACGTGGCCTTCCTCCATCCCTTCTTCCTTCCCCTGTCTATTCGTCCACACACCGCCTTCTTCCATCCCTCCTTCCTTCCACCATCCCTCCTTCCTTCCTTTCTTCCACCCCCTATTCCTCCCCTGGCCGCCTTCCCCCATCCCGTCTTCCTTCCACCCCCTCCGCTCCCCGCCTGCGGTCCCCACCCTTCCCCCTTCCCTCCCTCCCTCTCTTCCTCCGCCCGGCGCCTGACTCCATCCCTCCTTCCTGCCTCTTCCACCGCGCTCCGCTTCCCTCCGCTCGCCGCCTGCCCCCATCCCGTCTTCCTCCCGCACCCACCCTCCGTCACCCCGCGCCTTCCACCCCCTCCCCATCCCTCCGCCCGCCGCCTGCCCCCCATCCCCTCCATCTCCCCCCCCTCCGCACCCTGCGCCTCGGGGGGAGCAGGCAGCCGCGCGCCGGTGGGGAGGGGGGGGCAGGGAGCCTGCGTGCGGCGGTGGAGGAGGGGGGGGCAATTGAAGGCCAGGGGGGGCAATTAATTCCCCGGCCCCCCGGAATATCTGATGTGCTGCAGATCCGCCCCGAGCAGCGGCTCCCTCCTCCCCAGCCATGGATTGTCTCTGCATAGTCACCACCAAGGTAGGGGGTTGGGGGGGCTGAGGGGCTCCATGGGGCTGTGGGGGGGCTGGGGGTCTCCATGGTGATGTGTGTGTGTGTGTGGGGGGGTGTCTCTGGGGTGCTGGGAGTGTGTGCTCGGGGTCTCCATGGTGATGTGGGGTGTCTCTGGGATGCT